GAGCTTCCCAGCGCCTCGGTTTATTCTACTTAAGCCTCAGCAATGGCGGGCCACCCCTCCGCCCCCAGCCTCCCGCTGCTGGCTCTTGTGCGTTAGATCGCCAGGGACTGCTGTGATGCTAGCAATGAGGGAGGTCTCTCGGTGGGCGCTGGGACGGGCTTCGTCCCTGGGGCCATGGTGTGGGGATTATAAGTGTCTCTGTCGTGGTGGCCCGTCCTTGCTAAGATCCTTGGGTTAGAGCACCAGTATTGGGGGTGGCGAGTTATGATGGGTGCAGCACGCCAACATGGCACAAGTATACATATGTAACAAACCTGCACGTTATGCACATGTACCCTAGAACTTAAAGTATAAGAAGAAGAAGAATAAGAAATTCTTCAACTGAAAAACCTCCTTAAATTGGCTGATTATCATTACAATTGGAGGAAAACTGCCAATAATTTCAAATTTAGAAGCCTAAGACTCTATAAACAAAGATTAACAATATGTTTTCTGATCTTTTTCCCCAAAATAATATTTTTCCAAGATGGAAATTTTTCCAGGGTATATAAGTACATGTGCTCCAATGATACAATGAATACTTACTAATCATAAGCAAATACCTTAAATGTCTTGTAACATCTTTCACACAAAAGCTGTTTCATGTCTATTAGCTAATACTTCTTACATCTCGTCCTGACCATGTAGCATGAGCCAAGGAATTTCTGACCTTCAGAAGTCTCAGTACTAACTGAGGACTCTACACAAATGGGAAATGGTCACATGGATTTCATAGTGAGGTTGGGGAGCTTTTGCACCAGAAAGTCATTCTGTAGAGAAGATTCCATTATCTTAGTAAAATTACATAGTTTTATTTTGCAGATTGGAATTACCAACTGATAAAGGGTTACTGATGTGGGAAGTTTTCCTACTTTATTCTTCTATTAGGTTCCTATGTGATATGGTTTGGCTCTGTGTCCCCACCCCAATCTCATCTCGAATTGTAATGTTCATGTGTCCAGGGAGGCTCCAGGTGGGAGTGATCAGATCAAGGGGTACTTTTTCCCAGGCTGTTTTCATGATAGTGAGGGAGTTATCATGAGATCTGATGGTTTAAAAGTGGCAGGTTCCCCTGCTCGCTCTCTCTCACCTGCTGCCACGTAAGACATCCCTTGCTTTCCCTTCACCTTCTGCCATGATTGTAAGTTTCCTGAGGCCTCCCCAGCCATGAGGAACTGTGAGTTAATTAAACCTCCTCTCTTTGTAAATTACCCAGTCTCAGGTAGTATCTTTATAGCGGTGTGAGAACGGACTAATACACTAATGTCTTTGAATTAATAATTTAAAATTTGTTGGCTTGGCAATAAAACATCCCTTTGAGATTTATTTATTTAGGTAATATTTTAAATTGGCAGTTTCATTCGCGTTTTTACAAATTTTAATTTTCAGGGTGTTTAAGGCCTTTGCTTTGAACTTGGTGGTTCCTGACACTCCACACTGTTAGTAACGAGGGACCATGTTGGGAGGCATTGGTTCGGGTGGCGGTCAGGAAGGGCAGAGTGATTTGAGTAGGGTCTGAGTGGATAATAGCTCATCAGTTTGGAATTTATAAATGACCAGGGCTGATTTAAGGAGATTTCTGCCAAACACCTACGCCATGGCCATGCCCCATCTGGATCCCCAGCCGTGAGATGAGAACCCATGCGGGGGGGCCTGCTCAGTGTTGTAAGTGGCACACGCTATTGGATAATGTAGAGTTGAACGGATATCATTTTATTATCATAATTTACAGACTTCGTACAATAAACTTATCACCTTTACACAAAGAAACAAATATATGTACATTTACCCTCCCCATTGTCATTTTGAGCCCCTCTCTCCAAACCATCCTCCCACTCTGTGACCCCACTGTTCCAGCATTTGGCTATGCCCTGGCAAGTTCCTACTTAGACAAGCACTCACCAGACCACTCTACTCAGCCTCCCCTTCAGCACCCACCTGGCCCACCTGCTAGAATACATGTTGAGTGGTCACACATGTGGACTGAACACCATCTATTCCATGCACTGACCTGGTGACAGCACTGAGCAGCAAGACAGAAAGGAAGCATTAGCTATCAAGGATGCCAATTCAAATGCTGGAGTCTTTCTCAGGTATTTTTCAATATTCAAGAAGTGTTGATTGTGAATTCTATACCCAATGAAACTATCCTTCAGAAATGAGCAGAAAATGAATATGTTCTTAAATAACCAAAAACTAAAAGAATTTTTGCTACCAGATGTACTCTTAAAGACTGGCTAAAGGAAGTTCTTCAAACAGCAAGGAAATTGAATTGATCTTATATCCTGCACACTTGCTAAATTTCCTCTCAATTTTAGCAGCACTTTTTAGATTCCATAGGATTTTCCATACAAACAGTCATGTGGTCTATATAGAGAGACAGATTTTCTTCTTTTCCAGTGAGGATAAATTTGTGTCTTTTTCTTTCTCTATCACACTCGGTAGGACCTACAGTACAATGTTAAACAGAAGTGGTGAAAACAGACATTCTTGCCTTTTTCCTGACCTTGGAGTTTGGTCTTTTACTCTGGTGTCAGATGTTAGCTGTAGGGTTTTTATAAATGCCCTTTATCACATTGAGGAAGTTGGCTCCTATGCCTAATTTTCTGATAGTTTTTTAATCAGAAGCTCATGCTAGAATTTATTAAATGCTTCCTGTCTACTAAGATGATTATGCAGTTCTTATATTAACATGAATTAATTGCATTTATTTATTCTTTAATATCAAGCCAATTTTGCATTCCTGAGACAAACCCCATTTGGTCATCATGTGTTGTTATTGTTACATATTGCTGGATTCAATTTTCTCAAAATTTGTTAAGAATTGCTACATCTACATTTACAAGGAAGATCAGTCTGTAGGGTGTTTTGTCTTATAATAACTTTGCCTAGTTTTGGAATCAGGGTAATGCTGGACTCATAGAATGAGTTGGGAAGGTATTTTCTCTTCTTCATTTTTCTGAAAGAATTTGTATAAAATTGGCATTGTATCTTCCTTAAAGGTTTGCAAGATTTCATAATGAAGTCATTGGCCTGGAGTTTTCTTTGTGGGGAAGTTTTTCTTTTTTTCATGGTTTGGGTTTTTTTTGAGACAGAGTCTTGCTGTGTTGCCCAGGCTGGAATGCAGTGGTATGATCATAGCTCACAGCAGCCTCAACCTCCTGGGCTCAAGCAATCCCCCTACCTTAGCCTTCTGAGTAGCTGGGACTACCGGCATGCACCACCACACCCAGCTGTTTTGTTGTTGTTTTATCGCTTTGTCTTGTTTTTGAGGTCTTATTGTGTTGCCCAGTCTGGTCTTGAACTCCTGGACTCAAGTAATCCTCATGCTTCAGCCTCCCACAGTGCTGGAATTACAGGCATGAGTCACTGCACACAGACTATGGGAAAGTTTTTAACTAAAAATTCAATTTTCTGTTCCTTTTCCAGTGAGCTTTCCAGTGTCTTTCAATTAATGTATCTATTTTATCTAAGCTGTTGAATTTATTGTGAAAAATTTTTTTAAACAACATTCCCCTTTTAGAGGTTGAACATCTATAGAATCTGTAGTGATGGCACCTCTTAAATCCCTGATCTTGCTCATCTGTGTCTTCTCTCTTTTTCTAATCAGTATGCCTAAAGTTTAATTTCACTGATTTTCTCAAAAAACTGGTTTTGGTTTTTATTTTTTTCCTAGTTTTTTTTTTGTGTGTGTTACATTTCATTGACTTCTGCTCTGGTATTTATTATTTCCTTTCTACTGCCCACAGTAAGTTTAATTTGCTATTTTCTTAGTTTCCTAAGGTGGAAGCTGAGTTTATTGACTTGAGGCCTTTCCTCTGTCTGGATGTGGCTATTTGCTGCTAAACATTTCCCTCCAACACCAAGCTGTGAGTTTTAGTTAAAGTAGTCTTGGAACTGGTCTGAGAAGTTCTACTTAAACAGTTGCACCTATCATGTAAGTGACAAATTATGTACCTGCCTGGCCCTCACCCCGGATGATGAGTGGGATGTACTAATGAGCAATGTTGCTGCATAGCTGTGGCCCTCACCCCGGACGATGAGTGGGATGTACTAATGAGCAATGTTGCTGCACAGCTGTGGCCCTCACCTCGGACGATGAGTGGGATGTACTAATGAGCAATGTTGCTGCACAGCTGTGGCCCTCACCCCGGACGATGAGTGGGATGTACTAATGAGCAATGTTGCTGCATAGCTGTGGCCCTCACCCCGGACGATGAGTGGGATGTACTAACGAGCAATGTTGCTGCATAGCTGTGGATTTCAAGGTATTTTCTCTGTGGTTTTATCATCAGCATTGGTTGTTGATGACTGTAAGACCGATGATTTGCACCTGGCCTCAGTGAGACCCCCAAAAGACCCTGCAGTTGGGCTGGTTACTTAGAAGAAAATATGTCTACGTGGCCAGCAGGATACAGGAAGGTATGATCGGCTGCAGGTGAGCTGTTGGAAGTAAGTTCCAATTTTCCTATTTTGCGTTTGCATTTTAATAGTGAGACTTCGTGCTTATGTTATTTGTGTGAAACAGTTTTATTCATAGCACTTAATTTAAAGAGAAAATCCATTCACAGGAACAACAAACAACCTAGACACCAAGGTAGCTCATGCCGTCCAAGGCTACATTGTGCAGTGAATGGGAAAACGGACACTGGTCCCAAAAGTCTGATCCACACTCGGCCACTGGTAAGTCCCATGCTGGTGGGCGAGGACAGAGACTCTGGAGAACCAGCGTCTCAAATCCTTCATACAGATGACACTCTTATCTCACAGGGTGTTGTGAAGATTTAAATAGAGAACCCACACCATATTCTTTGACTGGTGCTTTACATATACTGAGAGATCATAAGAGTTCATTATTATTATTATTTATGAAGTGAATTAGAAAGCACATGTGAAGACAAGAAGAAAACCTGAAAAAACATGGACTACCCCATTTTCCTCAGTAGAAAACTTTCACACTCTGAAGGTACACAAATTAGCCTACGAATTTAATGTAAAGCAAATAGACTGTTTTAGGTACCAATTCTCAATGTCACAGTGTTATACGGAAAGTAAAATATACAAGAACAGCCCAAAAGATGGAAACAATGGATGTGGTCAAATTGACATCAGTACAATACCCGTATGGTCCTACGTAGCCATCTTCAAAATGGGTTAGAAATGCCTTCAATCACTCACACACATGCGTTGAACAGATTCTAAGAAACGTTCTTACACGGGAAAAGCAAGTTACAGATACGTGGGCATGATACGGATGTAGATGTGTGTATGTGCATCCCACTCATACACAAAATGCCCAGCATCACCCACATGCATGCTGCGTGTGTGTGTGCGTGCCCAAGTGCACAGACAACAGCGTGCGGAAATTCAAACCACGCTGTGGGTACTGGTTACCACTGGGAAGGGAGTTGGTCACAGAGGGAAAGAGAAACAGGACATCGGCCTTTGACTTCAGAACTGTTCCTGCCTTTTCACATCCTGAGCTGTTTTCAGCATCATCGGAGCACTTAACACACATCACAGGAGTAAGAGTGTGCTGGAGGGAGCGTTCGGTGGGACAGATATTGTCATGGCTTGTGGATAAAGTTCACAGTCCTTAATAAGCCCCGAGATGGCAGCCAAGAGCTACGTTCTGAATAACGCAGCTTCACCCCAGAAACTTAGAGAAACCCAACAACCAAAAGGTGTCCATTCTGACAGCTGCAGCCTGTGCTGACTCAGATTAGCAAAAAATGTATATAAATTAATAATGATGCTGATTTGAAGAGTACATAAGGGTGTATACGTGATAAGGGTCCAAATTTTTACCTTAAAAAGAACACATTTACTTTTCAATCGCCCACATAACTATTTCTTTTAAACTGATCGAATTTGGTGTTACAAGAGCATGTTGCAAATTCTTCTGGCTATGTTTCTCTGACTATTCTAATTACGTTACCGTGGTTTTTCGTGTACATGCCCATTCATGTGAATGTTATCCAGGCAGATTTCCCAAATCTGGCTTCCTGTAACCAAGGGCTTTGAAAGAGGGAATGGTTCCCTGGGAATCATTTTGCAGTTTATTTTACCTGGTAGCAGGAGCCCACGGTTCCATGAAGTGTCTGTTGCTCTCCCCTCTCTCCTTTTGTGTCTCTATTTTTAATTGACAAAAACCAAATGTGAAAATTCCTGGGGTGCAATGTGAAGTGACGATACCTGTCTATATTGTGGGATGATCCAAACAAGGCAAGTGGCATATCCATCACCTCACACACTAATCATTTTGTGGTGAGAATATTTAAAAGCTCATCGTTTAGCAATCTTGAAATAGACATTATTGTTAACTGCAGTCACCATGTTGTGCAACAGATCGAAAGACCTGACTCCTCCCATCTAGCAGAAACTTCATGCCCTTTGACCAACATCCCTCCTTTCCCTGTCCACCACTAACCCCCGGCCCAAGAGAACAGCCAACACCCACCTCGCTGCTGCCACACGAAGTGTCGGGCTTTGATGGGATGGGGGTGAGGGTGGGGAAGACAATTTCAAAGCTGGAGCACTGGCCTCACAGCTCAGACACTCTTGTACTTATCCTGAGAGAATGATGTGCTGAGACCAACTAAACCTCCCCTGCTCTTCCCACATGGCAGAAAAGAGGCAAGCCAGGGAAGCCACTGCCAGGACATCATGGTCACCCAACCTTGTGCAGAAAGGAAGCACCTGCCCAGGATGCCATGGCACCCAACCCTCATCCCTAAGGAAACACAGCCCAGGGCACCATGGGCACCTAACCCTCATTCCCAGGGAAAGACACAGCCCAGGTCACGATGGACACCCAACCCTCATCCCCAGGGGAGGACACAGCCCAGGGCACCATGGACACCCAACCCTCATCCCCAGGGGAGGAGACAGCCCAGGTCACCATGGACACCCAACCCTCATCCCCAGGGGAGGAGACAGCCCAGGGCACCATGGACACCCAACCCTCATTCCCAGGGAAAGACACAGCCCAGGGCACCATGGACACCCAACCCTCATCCCCAGGGGAGGAGACAGCCCAGGGCACCATGGACATCCCAACCCTCATCCCCAGGGGAGGACACAGCCCAGGGCACCATGGACATCCCAACTCGCATCCCCAGGGGAGGACACAGCCCAGGCCACCATGGACATCCCAACCCTCATCCCCAGGGGAGGACACAGCCCAGTGCATCATGGACACCCAACCCTCATCCCCATAAGAGCATGCAGCCCAGGCCACCATGGACACCCAACCCTCATCCCCAGGGGAGGACACAGCCCAGGCCACCATGGACACCCAAACCCTCATCCCCAGGGGAGGACACAGCCCAGGCCACCATGGACACCCAACCCTCATCCCCAGGGGAGGACACAGCCCAGGCCACCATGGACACCCCAATCATGTGCAGGGAGAGTGTCCTTGGAGCCTTGGACTCTTGCTAGTGAACAGGTGGACAAGAAACTGAGGATGCGATCAGCGCACAGAAATCTCAGGCAGCTTAGGACACACGGGGCCTCTCACGCCTGGGAACATTGAGCAGCCACCAGGAGCCCACACCTTGAGGTACAGCAGGAGCCATGTGCTCTCGCTCTTGCACACTCATACTCCGGCACACAGCCCCTGGCACGCTCCCTCGTGCACGTTGCAGATTATCTCCACTGGCCTTGCACTTGCAACGCTGGAGGCTGAGAGGTATCAGCAGGTTTTTTTCTCATGAGAGGGGCGGGCTGAGAAGACTCCATGTGCTAGAGGCAGCTCCCTGAACACGGGTTACCCTGAGCGGATGCACCTGGCTCTGGAATTCCTGTCATTTGCTTTGGATCCAGAAGCCCCTGCCTCATGTAGCTACTTAACAGAAAGGAGGAATCCACCCAGGACATGCCCAGACGGGAGCCTCACAGGATGGACAGTGGTGTCTGGGGTCACGGGCAGCCCTGACCCTGCAGCGCCAGCACCGGCACACCCAGTGGGGAAGGCGGGGAGGCCCAAACGCCACCCACAGTTACTTCACTGGGTGGGACCCGGCACACCTGCCTTCCTGACACCCTGGAATCCCTGCCTCCTCCTAGAGCCCCCAAGCCCATCTCCCTCAGAGCCTCCACAGACAGACCCGGGGAGGCAGTTCCTCAGGCCTTGGACGAGGAAACAGGGAGATCCAGGTCATGGGTGCCTGGGGCGGGTCTCAGGCAGGTGCTGGGAACCAGAGAGAGGGGTCACCGTGAGGCACCAGCACTCTGAGCTTCAGTTGACCAGCCCACGAGGTGCTGAGTCTAGACCTGATGAACCTTCCCACCCCCAGTGACCTCTGCCCTTTCCCGAGCATGTCAGCTCTGCTCCAGCTTCCTGGTGTGAGCACAATGCCACTTTTTTCTCAACAAATAAGAAAGGAGGAAGGTGCCCCCAGGGCCCTGGGCCCTGAGGATGCCTGTGTGGAGGAGTCCACTTCGTCACTGGTGTCACTCACAGGAAGGGACGATGGAGTAAGCTGCCTTGACAGAGCTTACTCCATCTCCGCAGAAGGCCAGGGAGGTCCCTCACAGCGAACCTGAGGCCCCGCAGGCTGCAGAGGTGCTGGCAGAGAACAACTGCTCAGACACCCAGGGCCGGCGAGAGGATGGATGTGGGGGAGGGGCACACTGAGCTGCCCCAGCTCTGAGGGAGGAGGGCATCCAGCAGGGCTCCCATCTCCTGGGGGCACCAGCCCAGCCCAGCGGCTCTGCAGGACTCTGCACCCCTACTTCACAGCCAGGACTTTCTGGGTGTATCTTGAGGACTCCACATCAGGGACCACACAAGACCAGGGTCCCGGATATGGGGGTTGAGAGTGAGCATGTCACCGAGATGGGCTGTGGCATCACTCTGCTGCTTCATCTGGACAGCCAGGGACCGAGGTGTGGGCCAGCATGGGGAGTGGAGGTGGGGGCGTGCCTGGGCCCGCACACCAGACATCCAGGCCTCTGTGCAGCTGGGAAGCCACGGCCACTGCCCCTGGGCAGCCTGTGTTCTGGGGGCCACAGGGCGTCAGGGGTGAGGGGGCCAGAGCAAGTCCAGGGCCCTCGACACACAAGCTGATCCCTTCGCCCCGTGGTCCAGCAGATCCCACAGATCCCACAGAACCAGCAAGGTCTGGAACATAGGCGGCACTGCAGGGCCTCTACCACTGAAGCTCTCAGTGATGACTGCAAGGAGTGCTGTGCGTCTGCCAGCCACAGTCACCATGTGAGAGCAGAGGGGGCCTGCCAGAGTCCCGCACCCAGTCAGGGGCCCAGAGGAATCCCAGATGGGAAGGGATTACGTGCCTCTCACCATCCCATCCCTGGGCTCCAGGGACTGGGGTACAGAAAAGAGCATCTGAGTGGGTGGGCAGGGCAGCAGCCAACTGTAGGCATCTGGACTCAGGTGGCTTCAGCTCCCTCTGCCTTCCCAGTCCCGCCCCGAGCCCCACCCCACCCTGCCTTCAGCCCTGCCCCCGTCCTGCCCCACTCAACCCTCAGCCAAGCCCCACCCTCAGTCCCATCCCTATCACTGATCCCCACAGCCACACCACCCCACAACCACACGCAAGCCACACCCTCATCCACACCCCATCCACGCCTTCAGCCATACCACCCCTCACAGCCACATACCCCTCAGCCACACCCTCAGCTACGCCACCCCAGCCACACCCTTGGGCACACACCCCTCAGCCAGGCCACATCCATGCCCTGAGCTCCGCCTCACCTCAGCCCTGCCCCACCCCTTCCTCACGTGGCAACCCAGGGGCTGCAGATGTGCCCGGAGAGCGCAGGAGGGTGGAAACGTAGGTATCTCGGGAGAATGAGAAGCATGGTAGCCAGGTAGACTACAGGGCCCAGCCCCAGACCCGAGCTGGGGCTGGGCCCCTCCCTGTCTACCCAGGGCATTGCCTGTGAGGCTGCAGGTGACTTGGTGTGTGCTGCAGGCTCAAGGTCCTGCCCCAGGGAGCATGACATTCAGGCCCAGAAATCGCATCGTGCTGCACACAGCCCGAGGGGATAACCCTGTGATGTCCAGGTCACCAGCAGGTTTGGTGTCAAGACCGAGCTGCAAAGGACAGGTTTCTGGAAGGCACAGCATCATAGGTGGAGAGACTTGGAGCAAGGTCCTTAGCCCTGGAACCAGTGAATGTGTGCCCTTATTGGGAAAGGGGGTCTTTGCAGAAGCAAGTTAGCTGAAAATAATGAAGTGGAGAGGGGCTCCTGGGTTAAAGGGGTGAGCCCTAATGTAATCACAAGTGTCTTAGGAGGATGGCAGAGGGAGACTGACACAGACAGAAGCCAGGTGAGGTTGGAAGCAGAGGCAGAGGCCGAGCAAGCAGACGCTACTGCCTGACCCTGAAGATGGCGGAGGAGCCGAGAGCTCAGGGATGCAGAGACTGGAGGCGGCAGGGAAGGTTCTCCCCACATGCCTCGAGGCCTCCCCACATGCACGGCCTCCAGCACACCTAGACCTTGGCCCTGTAGGATTCATCCTGACCTGTGGTATAAATGTGTGGTGTTTAAGCCACTGGGCTGTGCAAATTGTCAGAGCAGCCACGGCGCATTCCTAGAAGGAGCCATTGGGGGGACTCAACAGGCAGTGACGGGGTCCTCACAAGCCTGTGAGCCACTCAGAGCCATGAGAGTGGCTAGGCTTGGTGAGGTGCAGGCCATGCCCACCTCCTCTAAGGCAGCCTTACATCCGATACCTTCTCTCTCTTTCTCTCTCTCTCTCCCTCCCCTCTTGGTTGGACTGCTCTCCATCATCCCCCCAGGGCATGACTGCCTCCCAAGGTCGTGCTGGGGTGCTTTGCTTGAGGTGAGCACTGACATCCCGGGGGTGTGAGGGGCACCTGCCCAGCGGCCTCGTGTGCAGGATGGGCAGTGGGCCCTGGCTGGCTGAGCATGTGGCCTGGCTGGTGCCCGCAGGCTGCAGCCTTCCTGGGGTAACCGGGATCAGTGAAGGCCCACAGAGTCTGGGCCTGGGATCCCTGCAGCGCTGGCTGAGGACCGGCGGGGATGGGCAGTGAGGGCACCGGGTCACTGTCACCACCCGCAGTTTATTACTTCACTGGGTGGGACCCGGCACACCTGCCTTCCCGACACTCTGGAATCCCTGCCTCCTCCCAGAGCCCCCAAGCCCATCTCCCTCAGAGCCTCCAGAGACAGACCTGGGGAGGCAGTTCTTCTGCCCCCAGCACAAGCCCGGGAGGCCAGGAAAGCACTGTGGGTCTAAAGGAGAGGATCCCGGGACTGCCTGAGAGATGACTCTGACGAGGCAAGCACGGAGCCCACTGAGAAGGGGGATGGGAGCTCCTCCAGGGATGGGCTAGCTCCTCATGAAGGACAAGGGCCCAGGAAGGACAAGGGGGCCTGCTGGGGCAGGATCTGCTACGCTGCAGTTCCTGTGAACCTGGCCCAGAGCTGCCTCTCCTTTTCCTCATCGGTCCTCACAGATCCACAGTGGTTGCCGTATCGGGAGGTCCCGTGGTGGCAGGGATGGGACACCTGGTATACGCCTGCCAGGTGTATCTGATAGGTTTATGCTCACACCTTCGCCTGGCACCTAGGCACAGCCTGAGCACCTGGGCACTGAAGTGAGGGCAAGGCCTAGGGACCCCACAGGATGGCCGAGGAGGCAACTGCAGGGCGCCTGGGACCCCTGTGCTCAGGAGGTAGAAGGATGCAGCCTGAAGACCCACACCACAGGCTCCCTGGCCAGTGCAGGCCCACAGAGCTTGAGGAGGCAGCCCTGAGCCTCCAGGGGAGAGACGCTCTGTGCACGCCGGCACGGGCCCAGAGTTACAAGCCCTAGGACAGCCCGGGAGAGGCCCAGGCCCCAGGCCAGCAAAGGGGTGCGGGAAGCAAGAGGCCCCGGCCACAGCATGAGGTGAGCCCATCAAGCCGGGGCCGGGTGGGCAATGGGAGGCAGGCAGGGCTTGGGGTGGGACCCTGCTGCAGCACCATCCACTGTCAACCAGAGGAGTTTCTTCCCTGTGCAGAGTCCACGGGCCTCCTGTGAGTGTGTGCATGGGCACACGTGTGTGTGTGCCTCTG